CGAGCGGCGGCGGCGTCGAGGCGTGCGGGCTGCGCATGGGCACGACGTAGCGACGGCCGTGGCAGAGCCAGCGACCAAACGCCTGCGCGTTGGACGGCGTGTTGGGCGATGCGCACGTGTACAAGAAGCCAAATACGTCGGACGCCGACGCGCTGGTGTGGATGAGCTGACGCGCCACGTAGGCCGCGTCCTCGGTCGTTGCGAGCACCAACGCGTCTGCGACAGCAGCGTACACAGTGCGTACCGGAGCGAAAGCGGGAGGTGCCACAACGCACCCGCATGGCCATACGCCCAGTCGGTCGGCGTCGGCGTCGTGTACGCGCACAGCGGCGCTGTCTTGGTGCGCGTGAGGTTGGCGACGCCGTAGCGGCGCAACACTGCGACAATGTCGTTGGCGTCGACGCCGTCGGCAAGCACGAGGTGGTAGCATCGGCAGTGGCCAAACGCGCCGTTGGGTGACGGATCGTCCGACCGTTCCCACTTGTACGTGGCGTCGGCGAGCGGCCAGATGCGGTCTTCGTCCGTCATGCGCCGGTCGCCGACAAAGACGAACGGCGGCGTCCGCAAAGTAAACCGGACAACGACGTGCTCGAATCGGCTGATACCGACGACGCAGTGGACGACGCTGGTCACTTTGAAGCAGACGCGGTAGCGGTAGTCATTCTCGCCATCAAACCCGATCGCAAAGGCAGTCGCGTCCGTGCTCGAGCAGGTGAATGTGACCCCGTCGACGGTGGCATACGCCGATGGTTCACTCGTTGGCGTCGACAGCAGGTGGACGCCCTTGCAGCGAAAGACGCGGCTCAGAATGTCGGCGCATGCCGAGCGCGTGACGGACGCGGCTTCCTTGACGTTGAGCGTCTCGCGGCGCCACCGCACGCCGTCCAGCCCAAGGAGACGTGTGTAGTCGCCGTGGGATGCCACGTAGACGGTGGAGCGACCGGTCTTGCCGTCTTTATACGGCGCCATCGACACAGAGAGAAAGCGGTCGAAGATGTCCAGCTTTTGCTTGCAAAAGGCCGCGATGTCGGCGGCGGTGGCCGTGGACGGGACGTTGGTGACGGTCGCTGCCAAGACGTCGGTGGCGCTCGACGGTTGGCCCGCGGCGCTCTTGGAGAAGGCTCTGGCGCGCGCCAGCTTGCACATGTTGGCATCGGCGGCCAGCGCCTGCGCCTCCATGAGCTCGTCCATGAGCTTGTAGACGCTGCTAGTACGTGTGCTTGGTCCCATCGTCCACAAAATCAAAACTGACCTGCGTGCCATGACCTGCGAGCCATGGCTTTCGAATGACGCGATGCCATTGGTTTAAATACAAATTTCGACGCACCAATCAGTAAAAAGCTTCTTTTTTGTGCCAATCGGATGGCTGGATTCTTCGCTGACGTGGTGCAACCACGGACGATTGTTGATGCTTCTCCCCCACAGTGGCATCTCGCCATCATGATACCATGTAGCTGTCACCGATGGCTGTCACCGTGGCT